AAGACCTTCCCCAGGATAGAGTTCAGGCTGACGGGCCTGTAGTTTTCTGGATCTACCTTCCTCCCTTTCTTGAAGATAGGTATGACATTGGGCTTCTTCCAATCTTTGGGCACATCACCAGAGCACCAAGAGCTCTCAAAGATCTATGCCAGGGCCTGAGCTATGATGATTGCCAGGTCCCTGAGTACCCTTGGGTGTAACCCATCAGGGCTGGCTGACTTGAAGGTATCCAGCCTATCAAGGTGTTCTTTCATGAGGTCAGCTTCAATGGAGGGCAAGGAATCTCCCTCACCTGGGCCTCTCTGACCCACAGTGGGCAGGACTGTCCCATGGGATTGGTGAAAAACTGATGCAAAGTACCTATTTAGCAAGTTTGCTTTTTCCTGGGCAGCTCACTTTATCATTTCCTCAAGAAATGATAAAATTAGCTGCGTATGGTCACAGGAGAAGTTGGGGCAGAGACGAGAAAAGAATCTATATTGTTTGGTGTCTGGTCCTGTACCTTAACCACCAGATTTTTTCCTTTGATGACATATAAGTATGATTTGTGTCTGCAAATATGTGCACACGTGCAAACACACACACAGGTTAGATAAACATTCAAAAATCCCAAGGTGGAATTACTCAGACCTATGCAGTTTTCTGTAAGTGCCCTAGTTTAGGTTGGGAGCAAAGAGAATAGAAGTTTGTACTTTAGTGGCAGCGAGGCACACAGGCTGCCTGAACTGGCTGAGGCCAGCAGGTTGGGGGCACTTGAAACCACCTCCCAATGTGACCCATGGCCTCCCCAGGCTGCTGGAGATTGCCAAGCACTGCCAAGTCATTGACAGACATCTCCAGCCTGGTCTGCTCTCAGTCAGTGTACTCCCTCACAGGCCATGAGGGTCTTTCAGTGATCTCCCACACACCCACCCTGGGACCCTCATGGTTCCAGTGAGCCAGCATAATGCCATGGAACCAGGCATGGCTGGGCCACTCTTCCCCACTCCCATCACCAGTCAGCATCAGTGATAGGCATCAGCAGCTTGTATAGCAACCTAAGAGGGTGGCTAGCAGGGACCCACAAAGACACCTGGGATACCAGCAGACAATGATCTGCTTTGATTTGTGAGCAAACTTGGTACTGAAGTTTGATTTACTGGTCTAACCTAGATCAATTAAGTCTGATACCACATCAGTCCAGGTCTATCTTAAACATGGATTCACCATTTTTCAACCAATCTTCATGATCCAAACTTCTGCTCTGTCACAGGTGTAGACTGGTTTCCAAGCACCTAAACTGGAAAAAGTGTCACATCTGTACCTGCCTGTCTCAGGGCACTAAGGTGCCCTGCTCCTTTAAAGAACTGAAAATGCTAGGGGAAGAGCCCTAGCAGTGAGTTGGAGGCCCCAGCTGCTGGTTACCAGGGCAACCAGAGTGAGCTAGTGGCCCACACCTGCCAGCAGTCAGCTGACTGGAAGGGGCAGGGCCTGGATCACATATAAACCCCAGGGCTGAGGCTAGGAAGGCAGTTCCCTGCTAGCAGCCAAGGGGAAGGAGCTCTCCAAGAGCAAGCAAGGGGGAGAGGCCTGTCTGCGGGAGCAGCCTCTGATACTGTTAAAGGATGGACCATTCCCCGGTAGGGTTTGGATGAGGTTATAGCCGAGTGGCTTGAATGTATGTTACAGCCCAGGGGCTTGTGTTTTGTTTATTGTCTCATAAGACCGGTGGTTTAGGTGAAGCTGTTAGGGGATGGAGGCGGCCTCATAGGGGACCCCCGGCAGTGTGGGAACCCCAGCACCAGAGAGGGCCCAGCATTTGGCGGGGCTGCAGAAAGCCCCAGCTCCAGTGAGGCACCGAGCGAGACAGGGCTGCAGAAAGCCCAAGAGCCAGTGAAGGTGCCAAGTGAGACAGGGCTGCAGAGAGTCCAAGGACAACATGGGGACCAAATTATAACAAGGCCCAGACCAAAAAATGTCAGTTCCATCTACGAGGCTTGAGGCGTGGTAAAGGGGTGGTTGGAGCCACGCATAGTCCATAAGGCTAGCGTGCCCCGAAACACTCATTGCAAAATGGGACCCACAAGGGGTCCAGGAGCCCACGGGGTCAGAGAGTACAGCAAACTGTGTCCAAGGGGACATAAAGGCAGCTTCCCTATTATATATTTTCCGTCAAAGACGTGGTGGGCGAGAATCGAGGGTGCCCATTGGGTCAACTTGGCATGGTAAGGGGCCTTGGGAGATCACAGCCACCCTTAAGGACCCCCCATCCCGTGACACTACCCCCCTCACCTCCCCCACACAAAACAGTCCCTTTGAAGTAGAAACCTAAGCCTCAAAAAGCAGCCGTTTTAGAAGGGATTATTGCTTCATGATAATTATGCACAGGTGTGCCTGATTTCAAGGTAATGTTTGGTCATCAGATAATAATTCTGCTTCTTCCACCAGCCTTTCAAGGTAAACTTCTACTTGAGTATCTCACAACAGGCAGTAATTGAGAGGGATTCCTTGTCTTGGTCAAGAGTGCTTTGTACTAAAATTTCCCTAGCCTGTAGTAAGAGAGAAATTAATTTTCCTTTACATTTATTAAATTGTCATGAGATGGCAAACCTTTAGAGTCTCTGATTTCTGCTGGGAAAACTTTACAATAGGAGTCTATTTCTCATTGGGATTAGCATATCTAGTTAGCATAATTTTATATTGTATTTCATCCATCAAATTTGACCTTTCCATTTGTCTCTCTGAGTTTTCTTTTTCTTTTCAAGGACATAGACTGTTATTTCAGTTCTCTGCAAATACAGAACATGATGGGCAAAACTACAGGGGTATGGGAAGCCCACGTGACTTCAAATAGACTGTTACTGAGGCCAGTCAGACTCAAGCACAAACTTGCACACTTTGCTGAATTGGGGGTCTACAAGCAGCTTGCTTAGGTTCTGGGGAATGAGCAATCTTCTGGGAAAAGGGGTTTCTGCTAGAGCTTAGCAAGAGCTAAGGCAAGCAAGGATGTTCAGTGCTCTCCCTATATAGATACATAAATATTAGGGTCGGAAGGGACATCAATAGATCATCGAATCCGACCCCCTGCATAGGCAGGAAAAAGTGCTGGGTCTAGATGACCCCAGCTAGATGCATATCCAACCTCCTCTTGAAGACCCCCAGGGTAGGGGAGAGCACCACCTCCCTTGGGAGCCCGTTCCAGACCTTGGCCACTAACTGTGAAGAAGTTCTTCCTAATGTCTAGTCTAAATCTGCTCTCTGCTAGCTTGTGGCCATTATTTCTTGTAACCCCTGGGGGCGCCTTGGTGAATAAAACCTCACCAATTCCCTTCTGTGCCCCGATGATGAACTTATAGGCAGCCACAAGGTTGCCTCTCAACCTTATAAGGAGTATAGCATCAACTTCTGCCACTGTCGGACACAGAATACTAGGTTGTATGGACCATTGGTCTGACCCAGTATGGTCCCTTGGCCCCTTACTGTGCCAGGTTGGTCTGACTTTCTTATGTTCTTATTTAGGGGAAAAAAAATGCATTCAGGTGCATACAAGACTGGAAAGAGAATTTTTTTTTTCCATGTTGATGTTTCAGTTCTGAAGAGGAATATTTGCTGTTATTTTTATTTTTTTGGTTTAATACCACTGTCTAAGAGAAGGCAGGGAATTGGGAATACATGGAAATATTACATTTTAAATAATTAATTGCATTATAAAATAAGCTCTTAATAATGGGTATATTTCCCAAAGTCTGGACATTTGGTTTGGGTAAGTATTTTTTCAGAGGAAGGAGAATATAGACCTACATAATTATATTTCTTTTGTAGGCATATTTCAGTTGTAATTATTTTGTTCTGTGGACATTCAGGGCACCTGTACGTGTGTGTTTAAGCACAACTACATTTAATGTACATTAAGCTAATGTATATTAAGTGATTTTTGGCAAGTATCTACATGTGCAGAGACTTGGCACTAACTTTAGCACCAAGTCCCTGCAGCCCTGCCATGTGACCCTAGTGGCTGGGCAGATCTGGCACTGAAGTTAGCGCTGGGTCGCATCTAAACATGTGTTAATGCGCTTTAACTAATAGTACCTAAATTTGATGGGAATGGAATGGAAAATCAAAGAAAAGTGGAAAAAAATTACTGAGACTGCATTCTTTTTTGTATAGGTCTAAACTAGCAAGCAATAAATATATAACATTTCAGAAAAATATATGGGTTATGGTAGTCTGCAGTGCCCAAATATTTACAAATAAAAACCTGAAAGAGTTCCGGAAGTTATTGCCTCATGTATAGAAGTGAATTTTATCCTGTCACTAACCAGCTTTATGCATTCTGCTTTTTTATTGCTAGGATTTAAAATGTCCTTCTTTAATAAAGAGAAGACAGAGGTCCTGATCCAGAGAAGTACTTAGGCAAATGTTTAACCTGAAGCATCTGAATCATTCCAAAAGGTAGAAGCATAAAGCTGGCTCCTAGTCCACAGGATTGCTCACATGCTTGAAGTTAAATGCATGCTGAAGACTGTCTCATTTTTAAAAATACAAAACAATTTCTTAAAATACAAAAATATTTAGTTGTCATGGTGACATCTGAAAGAACCCTCTGGGGAAAAAGAGCCAGTAGAAACTTGTGGGGGAACATGGATTGCAGGCTTTTCCTGCCCTAGCTTAACAGAAGAACACAATGGTTTTCACCTGCGGTTAGGCTCTGAGGAAAACAGCGGTTTCAGTTTTATCTCCCCATCCACTCAGCTGAGTATTGTGCTGCTCTTTTCTTTTTTGAATGCAAAGTTTAACCAGTTTACCTGCAGGCTGCATGCAAAAAAGAAAATAAGGCACGTTGGTGCTATCAAACTTTCAAATGGCAAGACAGCACTGACATGAGATGCAACCTTCAGAGAGAAAGCAAATCCAACTGTCTTCAAAATCAGAATCAGTTGATCCTCCTTGCTTGTTTGTGCTCCATGATAAATCAGCATATGGGATGATAAACCATGATTGTTGGCATGTAATTTGGGATGGATCTTCAAGGTAGAAACTTGTTCAAACAAGTGTGCTCAGTATTTTAGAAGACAGTGCTTCCTGTTTTCTGCTGGAGCTTGGTGCCCTCAGGTAGCACTAAGCTAACATTTCTTATCTTTATATGATCCATGTACTATACTTTGTATTTCAAATAATTTCTTATCCTGCTTTGCAGATGCATTTATGCATGACTGATACTTCAATTTATTGTTTTGTTGGCCTCATTTGTGGATTCATTGTAATAAAATTATTACAGTTTGGATGAAGAAATCATAGCTGCTTAAGCCTCAGAAATGCTGAGCTGCTCTCAAGTTGTTTTTTTCCCCCTTATTCTGTCACACATAGTGACCATTATGAGAGCCTTAGTTTAAAACTTTCTTTTTAAAGTAAAATTAAAAAAACCTTCAGGACAGAAATTATTTTAACTTGACTTATTTGTTATCAAATTATAATAGGTTCTTGCTAATATTATTTATGCTAAGTTTAAGATGAGTTTGACTACTAGATATCCAAAATTAGAAGTATTTTGATTATACGTTTAGCTCATGCAGAATTTCTGTTTCCTGACCAGATAAGTATAATGCTTAGAATTCAGTTTCCACTGGGAATACTTAAGTATTTGAAATTTAATTTTCTCCAGTATTCACTTAGAAAGCATGATTACTCCTGACAGTAACCTAATTCGGTAGAACATTCAGAGAAAGAGAATACAAAAGGTCAGGAGCATAGTCAATGTGAATTCATTTAATAATTTGAATTGATATCTCCTGAATAGATTTTGCATTATTTATTTACTTTGAAATCTGGTTTTCATTTTACCCTTTTGGTTAGTTAAAAAGGTAGTTTATCTTGTCCTTTCACAGTTTCATTGTCTTTATGTTTTCAATAATATTCTTGCAATTGTTTTGAGAGACTATTTAGTGTTCATAAACTGAAAACCTTATAACTGTAGCCATTCTCATCGAGGCATCAGACCACATTTCTTATCTGCTTCTGAGTCTTACTGCTGCTTCTTTCTAACCATATGAACAAATGAGGGGTTGTTTTTTCTTGTTATGATCTTTATATCAAAGTATAATTTGAAAAATGTATGACAGGTGGAATCATGGGCACCTTGCTGTGAGCAAATGATTGCAAAAGGGAGAGTTAAGGCAGTACCTGTGCAGATTAAAAACAAACACAATAGTAGTATATACTCTATCAAGAATGGAAAGACTTGCTAGAAAACTGATCTTAAAGCACCTCTTGTTACAAACAAGACCAGCCCTCAGATACTGTGCCAAAATCAGCATCTGACACATCAGTACAACTACCCACCATAACCTTTTTTTTTTTTTTTTTTTTTTTTTTTTTTAATACAAATACAAAAGCCCAATAATTGCCTCTCCTTTTTGCAATAGACCCCTTCAGCCTACTGGCTGTGTCTACATGAAATGCTGACTGTGTATAAACAAGTCCTAAATGACTGTGCAGTAACTCCGGCACACATGCGCACACAGTCTCTCCCTCCCTCATTGCTTTCTCTGTCTCTCTCTCCCCCTCCCTCTTGGCAGGGATGTACGCACATGCACACACATATGCACACTCCCACTCCTGGCCCTGGGGTGCCTGTGCAGCTGCATACTCCTGCGGTCTAGTGATGCAGCCAGGGGCCACATAGTCCTGGAGCAGCCAGCAGCATGCAGGGAAGCAGTGCAAGCTGCAGCAGGCAGAGACTTCTGGTTGGGAGGACAGGGGTAGGAGGGCATTGGGGGTGGGGTGGGGCCAGGTTGGCCTTGCTGGTGAGTCCTGTTGGCTCCCCCTGGCTCCTACTGCCCCTGTCATCTTCAACAGGCAGCCAGGAGCAGATAAATATACATTTTCTAAATTTTTAGGGGCCCCGCAGGCTGGATAGAATGGCCTGGCAGGCTGAATGCAGCCCATAGGCCCTATTTTGGCCACCCCTGGTCTAGGCTCTCTGCTCCAATCACCCTGTGAATAGCAAGCCAGGGGTAGATACTAGTTGACCAGGGAGAAGTGAGGTAATTGCAAGATGCTGAATGCAATTGGGGAAGGGTTGTTGGGGGTACCATCTATATCTGAAAAGGGGATGGAGACCTTTTCTCCATGAAAAGATACTTTAGCATTAATGGTATTTGATTTGATAAACAGGAATTAGATAATGGTGAGGAAAGGTGTGATCATTGTAATATTTGGAGTGTAGTATCTATGTCCCCAGTAGTGAACAAGGTAGGAACCATTGATCTGTTTAACCTAATACTTCATTCTGGCATTAAAATTTGTGCATCTCTGATGTATTGGGACTGACATTAAGGAATATCCCTCTAAAGCTGTGATAAGAATGTGACAGGGCTAGTGGCATGCTAGTAAAGGGATTATTGGTGTCATGATGAAAACGAGACGTGCCCTGACACCTTTGTACTCAAGGACTCACTGCCCGGTAGATGGGTTGTAGCTATGTGTTGGTGTGGCAGGTCTTGGCTGATACAGAAGTGCTCTATCAAGGATATGGCTGTGTATATGTGTGCAGTTTCATAGATTTCATAGATTTTTAGGGTCAGAAGGGATCTCAGTAGATCATCTAGTCCAACCCCAATGTGTCAGTAAGTATCCTCAAGAATATTGTTCGTGGATTCTGCAGTGCCAGTTAAAATTTGTGCGCGCTATAAATGGCTTCCTGTAGGCAGTTCTTTATATGGAACTCTCAATACTGGCTCTCAATAATACAATGAGTGGAACTAGAGAAACAGGGCTGGGCTTCAGGAGGAACCTAAGCTAAGTGACCAGAGACTCAGGGCAAGCTGGTATCTGGATGCTAATAGATATACCGTAGAGCCTCAGCAGATAACACAGACCTTCAGTATGCTTAGGAAAGTTCCTGCAACTCTGCCTGCCATGTTATTCCTTGTGAATAAATAAGTGGTGAGTTGGCTCCCTTCTAGCATGGACAGTGGAAATTTGTCAAAGTGCAGTCAGCTCTATTAAATGTGCACCAGGTGCAACCTTGATGGGATAGACTAGATGACTTTAAAGTACTTCCCAGCCTCTATGTCTGGGATTCTATATGCATTTCCTTTTTGTTTTGAGGCATGGATTTCCAGATGCAATAGCAATAAAAGTAGCTTGTTTTAAGTTTTATTGCATTGTGTTTCATGTCTCCAAATGGGCAACTTCTGTTCTTACAAACCTGAATCTCCCATGTAGTAAAACACAACAGCTCATTTTAAAACCACTCTAGTTTAACCCAGCTAAAGTAATTTTAATTAAAACCAAATAAAAATATACCTTCCCTCTCTGTTTGGTCAGATGAAAGCAAGGTTGTCATAATAATGGAATGGGAGACTCCTACATGCCTGAGGTGAGAGGCTGATAGACAGTTACAATGCTGCAATGTAATCACGTTAGCACCCAGATATTAAAGCTGGCAGCTGAATGAGAAATCCCATAGGCAGCCACAATAGATTAGGCAGAAGATTTAATACATCATTTGCTGAGCATAATGGTCAGGATAAAAAAAAAAAAAAAAAAGATAAAAATCCATGCATTATTTTTAGGAAGCCCAGTTTTTTAAGTGTTAATCCTAAATCTAGGCAGCTCATTCATAGCCCTTCTTCTGGGTGCCCTTCTCCCTACACCCTCTGGTGCCCAAGCCCTGAATAAATCTGATTTATGAGGCACAGTGTAACAGGACTAGATATGAATGATACGCCATGTGCCTGTCTTGGCATAAAGAGATCTATGAGACCTACAACAAATCAAATAATTTTTAAATTATCTAAAGTGACCATTTTCTTTTTCAGTGCCAAATGTATATGTTGACATCTAAATGCCCATTCACATGGTGTAATTCAAATTGGGCCTATCAAAGTGTGTACTGATGACCTTGTACATGTAAAGTATGTTTTTAGGGTCAGAAGAGACCTCAGTCATGAACCATAGCAGCCAATGTCCTAATTCTATGTCCTAATTCTATGAAATGTTGTAAATATATGCTCAAGAGATCCTGGGTAGGGAGCCAGAGGGGCACCTGAAGTGTGGCAGACAGATCGGGGGCCCACACCCCCAGGAGGACTCTGGCACAGACCCCACAACCCTCTCAGGTATTCCAGTGGGCCCTTGATCTGCCTGATGGATGACAGGAGGCTCGTTCTGCTGCCTGTGGACAGTGGCAGCCAGGGCCATCCCAAGGGGGTGCGAATCGGGGCAACCGCCCCAGGTTCCACACTTCAGGGGACCCCACACAGCTGGGCAGAGTGACTGTGAGGACTGCATCGCCACCACCACCCTCTTTGGGTATGGCTGCTCGCTACCCCCCCACTGGGTGGGGGCGGCAGCTTCTTCACATCCAGGGCACACGGGATTGGGGTGGGGCAAGTCCCCATGCACATGAACTGATTTGCCCCAGGCCCTGCACCCTCCTCAGATCAGCTCTGGTTGCTGCTGTCCCCAGGTGACAGCTTCCTGTCATCCAAGAGGCAGATCGAGGGTCCACTGAGACCCCCAGGAGGGCTGTGGGGACTGTGCCAGAGTTCCCAAGGGGGTGCAGGCCCCCTATCTGCCTGCCAGATTACAGGAGGCAGGTGCTGCTACCTGGGGCCAGTGGCAGCACTGATCTTCTTGGCTCAGGGTGCAGGCTGTGCCCAGCACCGGTTTGTCATCTGGCAGGCAGATTGGGGACCCACAACCCCAGGAGGGCTCCAGCACAGCCCCTGCAGCCATCCCAGGGATGCAGCAAGCCCCCAAATCTGCCTTTCTGCCGCATTTTATGATTTCTCACTATAACCTATGGGTGAAATGGTGAAACAGCATCGAAACAGCCAAAGAGTTTTGATGAAATAGAATGGAACAGTGCTTTCAAAATTAAACAAAACTTCAACCAAAACACTGTTCTGTCAAATGGAAGTCAAAGCAGAATGGTGCTGTTTTGTACAGCCCTACTGTGCACTGCTGTATTTTCCTTCTAGCAATTATCAAGGTGATTTAAGTCCCTCTTGGGCACCAGCACCTGTGATCAGGAAATGTCCAATAGCTATTTGAAGAAAGCCTCATCTACCACTTCTTCCTGTTTTTGTGGTCTATAGAGACCCCAC